TTACTGTGCCTAGCGCCTACTTAAGATTTTAGATATTTTGGAACTTATTTTGTGGCTACCCTTCTGTAATAGCTTATTGCATGTATTTGTTAACTTTATGTAAAAATACTTATGTTTATGTTTCCCACTTATACTTCATTTCTTAATTTTTAAGGTATTAATTATTTTGATGTGATTTAAAGGCTGATCTTAATGTTATAAAAAGGATTTGGTACCTTTGTGTGCTTGATATTAATACAGTGGCTTAAACTTCTACAGTTGAAATACAGTTTAAAAATAATAGATGGTTGAGGTGATATTTTCCTTTAAACAGCAGATGTGGAAAAAGTCGCGTGTCAGAATTGTTAACATTCTTTATTATTATTATTTTTTTTTGTTTACCTGTATAGGATCAGTTGGTAAAAGAAGATAATATTGATGCAGTAGGTAAAAAACTGCAAGAATACCATTCTCAGTATCAGGAGAAGAGTAAAGAGTATGATAGGCTATATGAAGAATATACTAGAACATCCCAGGTTGGTATATATTTATGTCGTTTTGACTAGTATGTGTGCAATGTTTTAGTTACATTAAATTTTCTATCATTCACTTGATGATTTTTAGCTGTTTTAATGTCTTAAAGGCTTAAACAGCTTTTTTTGAAACTTGGATGATATAAATTCCCCTCCCTTCTTAATTGGTTAGGGATATAATTGTATCAGTTAATATTAACTGGTCGCAAGTGACAAAAAACATAACAAAGTCTTCAGATAGAAATTTAGTTTTCTTTCATGTGTATATAGGCACTACAGGGGTGTTAGGGTAACTCCACTGTCCTTAGAACCTATAGGCATTTTCTGTCTTGATGCTTTGCTATCTGTGGAAGAGGGCTTACTCTATTATCAGCCATCACAACCATATTCTAGTAAACAGGAAAGAAGAATAGGAAGGAGAAGGCAAGGCTCTCTATCTTTAAGACAACTTCCTAAAAGGAGCACACTCTGCTTTCACTTTAATCCCGCTGGCTAGAACTAAGTCACATGGTCATACCTTGCTACAGTTCACAGCTAGCTGTAGGGGAGGCTGAGAAATCTAGTTTTTATTTGGTCAGATGTGCTCAGCTAACATGTGGGGATTTCCTGAGGAAGAAGGAGCTGATGGCGGAAATTGTGGGATTACTAGTAGACTTAACTGTACAGTTTTTAGATCATTAACTTTAATAATCAGTAATAATTATTTTTAATATTTATGATATAGAGCAAAATTCTGTAGAATAATCTAGTTCCTTTCCGAGGACTTCTTATGCCTGACTACTTTGATTCTTTTTTAGCTAGACTTGGATTGGTTTAATTTGCCCTCAGTTGTTACATAGTTTGTCAGTTGTTATATATTTTGGAGTTTTTATGAAGCTGGGTATCTTTAGAGAAGTTTACCTTTTATAATATTTGGGTTGGAAGTGGCCTAGGAAGATATATTTAATTGTATTTCTCATGTACATTCTCTTGGAACATAGGTTGTTACTTTGAATATCAAATGATTTATAGAGGCATTAGTCCATGCTGATTCTACTTAATTTCTAGTGAATTCTCAGTGCAACAATAACTTAACCTGGGTTCTTTCTAGTAGATAACAATAATGGATTTTTTTAATTGTTTACTTTCTATTTCATAAATTTCTGCTCTTTTAAATGTTTTTCTGCTTCCTTTCAGTTTGATTTTCTCTTTTCCTAGCTTCTGAAGGTAGAAATTTTGTTCATTGGTTTAAAAACTTTCTTCTTTTCTAAAATAAACATTTAAAACAATCTGTTTCCTTCTAAGCACTGCATATATGTATCTTACAAATTTTGTCATACTCTGTTTTCCTTATTATTCAGTTTTTAATAATTTCTCGTTTTCTTTGTGATATTTTTCTTTGGCCCCATGTATTTTTAATTTTTAAATATTTGGGACTTTCAAATACATTATTTATTTCTAATTTAAATTAATTTCGTTGTTAGTGAATGTATTAATTAAGGTTACAGTCTTTTGACATTTGTTGACTTAAATTTTATTATTGATGTTTTTATGAGACAGAATCTCGCTCTGTCACCCAGGCTGGAGTGCAGTGGCACCATCTCAGCTCACTGCAACCTCCGCCTCCCGGGTTCAAGCAGTTTTCCTGCCTTAGCCTCCCGAATAGCTGGGATTACAGTCATGCACCACCATGCCCGGCAAATTTTTGTATTTTTAGTAGAGACAGGGTTTTACCATGTTGGCTAGGCTGGTCTCGAACTTCTGACCTCAGGTGATCCGCCTGCCTCAGCCTCCCAAAGTGCTGGGATTACAGGCATGAGCCACCATACCCAGCCAGCTCTTTCTTTATTTTTTTTAAATTTTATTTATTTATTTTTTTGAGACAGCGTCTCATTCCATTGCCCAGGCTGGAGTGTAGTAGCACTATCTTGGCTCACTGTGACCTTTGTCTTCCAGGTTCAAGCAATTCTTTTGCCTCGGCTTCTCAAGTAGCGATTACAGGTGCCTCCGACCACACCTGCTAATTTTTATATTTTTAGTAGAGACTGGGTTTTGCCATGTTGACCAGCCTGGTCTTGAACTTTTGACCTCAAGTGACCTACCCCCTTCAGACTCCCAAAGTGCTGGGATTACAGAAGTGAGCCACCACACCCAGCCAAAATATATATATATTTTTTGAGATGGGGTCTCAGTATGTTGTCCAGACTGGACTTAAACTCCTGGGCTCAAGTGATCCTTCCACCTTAGTCCTCCAAGTAGCTGGGACTACAGGTGTGTGCCACCACACCCTGCTCCAACTCTCACTTTCTAATTCTATGAATTTGTCTACTGTAGGTACCTTATATAAGTGGAATAATATAATGTTTGTCCCTCTGTGTCCACCTTATTCTTTAAGTTTTCAAGATCTGTTCATGTTGTAGCATATATCAAAATTTTATTCTTTTTATGGCTGAGTAATATTTCATTATGTATATATATTACATTTTGTTTATCCATTCATCTGTTGATTTGGGTTGTTTCCAGCTTTTGGTCGTGAATAATGCTGCAATGAACATTGGCATACAAATATCTGTTTGAGTTTCTGCTTTCAGTTCCTTTGGATATCTAACTAGTATTTTTGGTAGTTCTATGTGTAACCTTTTGAGAAACTGCTGAACTGTTTTCAGAGCAGCTAACCTGTTTTGCATTCCCACTAGCAGTGCACATGGGTTACAGTTTCTCCATATTTTCCCTAGCACTTATGTTTTGTATTTTTTAAAAACAGCCACCCTAGTAATTGTGCAGTGGTTTGATCATAGCTCACTGTAACCTTGCACCCATGGTATTTCATTGGTGGTAGTTTATTATTGCTGAGTTTTTTTTTTTTTTAATTGTACTTTAAGTTCTGGGGTGCGTGTGCAGAACCTGCAGGTTTATTACATAGGTATACCTGTGCCATAGTGGTTCGCTGCATCCATCACCCTGTCATCTACATTAGGTATTTCTCCTAATGCTGTCCCTCGCCTATTCCCCTACCCCTTGACAGTCCCCAGTGTGTGATGTTCCCCTCCCTGTGTCCATGTGTACTCATTGTTCAACTCCCACTTATGAGTGAGAACATGTGGTGTTTGGTTTTCTGTTCTTGTGTTAGTTTGCTAAGAATTACGGTTTCCAGCTTCATCCATGTCCCTGCAAAGGACATGAACTCATCCTAATCAACATGGAGAAACCCCATCTCTACTAAAAATACAAAATTAGCCAGGTGTGGTGGTGCATGCCTGTAATCTCAGCTACTCAAGAGACAGGAGAATCACTTGAACCCGAAAAAAAAACAAAACTGATTTTGTGTGTACCTGCAACTTTGGTGATGTGTCTCTCCCTCTCTTTCTCTCTCTCTTTTTTTGAGACAGTCTTGCTCTGTCGCCCAGGCTGGAGTGCAGCAGTACAATCTTGGTTCACTGCAACCTCCGCCTTGCGGGTTCAAGTGATTCTTCGTCTCAGCCTCTGGAGTGGCTGGGATTAACAGGTGTCCGTTACCATGCCTGGCTAATTTTTGTATATTTAGTAGAGATGGGGTTTCACCATGTTGGCCAGGCTGGGTCTCAAACTCTTGACCTCAGGTGATCCATCCACCTCAGCCTCCCAAAGTACTGGGATTCCAGGTGCGAGCCACCACACCTGTCCAAGATCATGTCTTTTGAGATAGTTTTATTTCTTCCTTTCCAATTTGGTTGTTTTGTTTATTTTTATTGCTTGATTATTCTGACTGGAACTTTGAGTACTGCTTAATAAAAGTGGTGAGCGTGAACATCTTTGTCTTATTCCTGATCTTAAATAGAAAAATTTCAGTCTTTCATGATTATTTTTAGCCTTGAGTTTTTCATATATGGCTATATTAGTTTCCTAGGTCTGCTGTAACCAAATACCAGAAACTGGGCACCAAAAATTTCATTATTGCTCTATTCAGGGAACTAGAAGTTCAAAATCAAGGTGTTGCAAGGGCCAGGCCATGCCTTTTCTGAATGGTCTGGGGAGGATCCTTCCTTGCTTCTTCCTAGTTTCTGGTGGCTGGTTGCTGACAGTCCTTGTTTTGTAGCTATGTTGCTCTGATCTCTGTCCCCATTATTAATGGCATTCTGTCTCTGTATATCTGTTTTCTCTTATGAAGAGCCAGTCACTGATTAAGATCTATCCTAACCAGTATTACCTCATCTTAATTTACTAATATCTGTGAAGACCCTGTTTTTTTTTTTTTTTTTTTTTTTTTTTTTTTTTCTGTTTTTTTTTTTTTTTTTTTTTTTTTTTTTTTTTTTTTTTTTTTTTTTTTTTTTTTTTTTTTTTTGAGACGGAGTTTTGCTCTTGTTACCCAGGCTGGAGTGCAATGGCCCGATCTCGGCTCACCACAGCCTCCGCCTCCTGGGTTCAGGCAATTCTCCTGCCTCAGCCTCCTGAGTAGCTGGGATTACAGGCACGTGCCACCATGCCCAGCTAATTTTTTGTATTTTTAGTAGAGACGGGGTTTCACCATGTTGACCAGGATGGTCTTGATCTCTTGACCTCGTGATCCACCCACCTCGGCCTCCCAAAGTGTTGGGATTACAGGCGTGAGCCACTGCGCCCGGCCAAAGACCCTGTTTTTTAATAAGATCACATTCTGAGGCTGGGCATGGTGGCTCATGCTTCTAATTCCAGCACTTTAGGGGGTTGAGGTGGGTGGATCACTTGAAGTCAGGAGTTCGAGACTAGGCTGGCCAACATGGTGAAATGCTGTCTCTGCTAAAAATACAAAAAATTAGCTGGGTGTGGTGGTGCATGCCTGTAATCCCAGCTACTTGGGAGGCCGAGGCAGGAGAATCACTTGAATCTGAGAGGCGGAGACTGCAGTGAGCTGAGATCATGCCGCTGTACTTCAGCCTGGGTGACACAGAGAGACTCTGTCTCAAAAAAAAAAAAATCATATTCTGAGGTCCCAGAGATTAGGACTTGAACATAACTTTTTGGGGGACACAATTTAGTCTTTAGCATCTTCATCATGTTGAAGAGTTCCTTTTTATTTCTACCTTATTGAATGTTGATTTTACCATTGAAAGAGTGTTGAATTTTGTCAGATGTTTTTCTATATCATTTAAGATGATCATGTGTATTTTTCCTTTATTCTTTTAATGTGGTGTATTATGTTGACTGATTTTTGCTCTTTGAACCACTCCTCTTGCATTCTTGGGATAAATTCCAGGTGCTTGTCATGTATAGCCTTCTTAGTATTCTGTTGAATTCAGTTTACTAGTAGCTTGTTGAGGATTTTTGTATCATAAAGGATAATGGTCTATAGCTTTCTTGCAGCATCTTGGTCTGACTTTCTATCAGAGTGATAATGGCCTCATAGAATGCGCTTAGAAGTATTCCCCCCTCTTCTACTTTTTGGAAGAGTTTGAGAAGTATTGGTATTAATTCTTCTTTAAATATTTGATAGATTCACGAGTGAAGCCATGGGCTTTTCTTTGTCAGGAGATTTTTGATTACTGATTACATCTCCTTACCTCCGATAAGGTAGAAATTCAATAAGGTAGAAATAACATTCAATAAGGTAGAAATAAAAAGGTTTATGCAAATGTTCTATTACTTCTTGATTCAGTTTTGTAGTTTGTATACTTCTAGGAACTTGTCCATTTAATCTAGGTTATCCAGTGTATTGGCATTCAGTTATTTATTCATTTATTTATTGTTATCTTTTGAGACAGGATCTTGCTCTGTCACCCAGGCTGGAGTGCAGTGGCATGATCACAGCTCACTACAACCTTAACCACCAGGGCTTGAAGTGATCTGCACACCTTAGCCTCCTGACTAGCTGGGGCCCACAGGTGCATGCCACCATGCCTGGCTTTTTTTTTAATTTGTAGAGATGAGGTCTCACTATGTTGCCCAGGCTGGTCTCTAATTCCTGGGTTCAAGGAATTCTCCCACCTCAGCTTCCCAAAGTGCTGGGATTACGGGCATGAGCCACCGTGCCTGGCCAGCATATAGTTAGTTATTTATAGCATTCTTTCATAATTCTTTTTATTTTTGTAAAGTCAGTAGTAATGTCCCTCTTTCATTTCTGATTTCAGTAATTTGTGTTTTCTCTTTTTTTCTTAGTCAATCTGTCTAAAAGTTTGCTAAGTTTGTTGATCTTTTCAAACAACCAATTTTTGGTTTTGTTGATTTTTATTTTTTATTTTTATTTTTTATTTTTGAGACAGGGTTTCACTCTCATTGCCCAGGCTGGAGTGCAATGGCATGATCTTAGCTCACTGAAACATCCACCTTCTGGGTTCAAGCAATTCTCCTGCCTAACCCTCCCGAGTAGCTGGGATTACAGGTGCCTGACACCACGCTTGGCAAATATTACATATTTTTAGTAGAGATGGGGTTTCACCATGCTGAAATCCTGGTCTCGAAATCCTGACCTCAGGTGATCCACCCTCCTCAGCCTCCCAAAGTGCTGGGATTATAGGCATGAGCCACTGTGCCCATCCAATTTTTTTTGTTTTTCTAATTCTCTACTTCATTTATCTCTCCTCTAATCTTCATTATTTCCTTCCTTGTGCTAGGTTTGGGTTTTTTTTTTTTTTCTTTCTTTCTTTTTTGAGATGGAATCTCACTCTGCCACCCAGGCTGGAGTGTAGTGGCGTGATCTCAGCTCACTGCAACCTCCGCCTGCTTGGTTCAGGTGATTCTCCTGCCTCAGCCTCCTGAGTAGCTGAGATTACAAGCATGTGCCACCACGCCCAGCTAATTTTTGTATTTTTAGTAGAGACGAGGTTTCACATGTTGACCAGGCTGGTCTTGAACTCCTGACCTCAGGTGATTTACCTGCCTTGGCCTCCCGAAGTGCTGGAATTACAGGCGTGAGCCACCATGCCCAGCCTAACTTTGAGTTTATTTTGCCACTCACTTCTTTTCTGGTTCCTTAAGATATACAGTTAGGTTATTGATTTGAGAGCTTTTTTCTTTTCCTTTTTTTTTTTTAATGGAGTCTTGCTCTGTTGCTCAGGCTGGAGTGCAGTGGTGAAATCTTGGCTCACTGCAACCTCTACTTCCTGGGTTCAAGCAATACTCCTACCCTAGCCTCCTGAGTAGCTGGGACTGCAGGCATGCACCCACCATGCCTGGTTAGTTTTTGCGTTTTTTGGTAGAGATGGGGTTTCACCATGTTGGCCAGGCTGGTCTCAAACTCCTGACTTCATGTGTTCCAACCACCTCGGCCTCCCAAAGTGCTGGGATTACAGATGTGAATCATCATGTCTAGCCATTCTTTTTCAAGTTAGATGTTTACAGGTATACATTTCACTTGAGCATTGCTTTTGGTACATCCTGTATGTTTTGGTAGGCTGTGTTTATTTATCTTGTTTTCAACTTTTTGGTCATTCATTATGAACAGGTGGGATTTATCCCAGAGATGCAAGGATGGTTCAACATATGTGAATCGATTAATGTGATACATCATATCAATAGAATGAAGGAGAAAAACTATAAGATCATTTCAATTGATGCTCAAAACGTGTTTGATAAAATTCAACATCCTTTCATGATAAAAACCATCACAAAACTGGTTATAGAGGAAACATAACTCAGCATAATAAAAGCCATATACAACAGACCCATAGCTAGTATCACATTGAATGGGGAAAAACTGAAAGGTTTTCTTTTACAGTCAGGAACACGACAAGGATGTCCACTTTCACCACTGTTATTCAACATAGGACTGGAAGTCCTAGGTAGAGTAATCAGACAAGAGAAATAAAGAGCATCCAAATTGGAAAGGAAGAAGTGAAATTATCCTTGTTTGCAGACGATATGATTTTGTATTTGTCAAAAGCCAGAAACTTGAACCAAAAACTTAGAACTGATAAATTCAGTAAAGTTGCAAGATATAAAATCAACATACAAACATCAGTAGCATTTCTATATGCCAACAGCAAACAACATGAAAAAGAAACCAAGAAAGTAATCCCATTTACAGTAGCAACAAATAAAATAGCTGGGAATTAACTAAACCAAAGAGGTGAAAGATATCTGTAATGAAAACTATAAAACATTTATGCAAGAAATTGAAGAAGACATCAAAAAAATGGAAAGATATATATACATATATTTTTTGAGACAGAGTTTTCCTCTTGTTGCCCAGGCTGGTGTGCAATCTCAGCTCACTGCAACCTCCGCCTCCTGGGTTCAAGGGATTCTCCTGCCTCAGCCTCCCGAATAGCTGGTATTACAGACATGCACCACCATGCCTGGCTAATTTTGTATTTTTTTAGTGGAGGTGGGGTTTCTCCATGTTGGTCAGGCTGGTCTTGATCTCCCTACCTCAGGTGATCTGCCCTCTTTAGCCATCCCAAAGTACTGGGATTACAGAAGTGAACCACTGCACCCAGCCTAGCTATTTTATTCATGGATAGAAGAATAAAGATTGTTAAAATGTCCATACTACCTTCCCAAAGCAATCTACAGATTTAATGCTATCTCTATCAAAATACCAATGACATTCTTCACAGAAATAGAAAAAAAAAAAAAATCCTAAAATTTATATGGAACCACGAAGATCCAGAACAGTCAAAACCATCCTAAGCAAAAAGAACAAAACTGGAGGAATCACATTATCTGACGTTAAATTATGCTACAGAGCCTTAGTAACCAAAACAGCATGGTACTGGCATAAAAACAGATACATAGATCAGTGGAACAGAATAGAGAACCCAGAGATAAATCCATACACTTACAGTGAAATCATTTTTGACAAAGGTGCCAAGAATATATGTTGGGGAAAGGAGAGTTTCTTCAATAATTGGTGCCAGAAAAACTAGTTTCATTCATATGCAAAAGAATGAAACTAGACTCCCATCTCTCACCATATTAAAAAAAAATCAAATCAAAGCGGATTAAAGACTTAAATCTAAGTCTCAAAATTTGAAAATACTACAAGAAAACATTGGGGAAACTTTCCAGGATATTGGACTGTGCAGATTTGAGTAATACCTTAAAAACACAGGTAACTAAAGCAAAGATGGACACATGGGATTATGTCAAATTTAAATGCTTCTGCACAGCAAAAGAAATAATCAGCAAAGTAAAGAGATAACCCACAGAATGGGAAAAAATATTTGTAACTACCTGTCTGACAATATATTAATAACCAGAATATATAAGGAGCTCAAACAGCTCTATAGGAAAAAATCTAATAATCTGATTTAAAAATGAGCAAAAGCTATGACTAGATATTTCTCAAAAGACATATAAATGGAAACAGGTATATGAAAAGGTACACAACATCACTGATCATCAGAGAAATACAAATCAAAACTACATTGAGATATCATATCTCCCCAGTTAAAATGGCCTTTATCTGAAAATCAGGCAATAAAAATGCTAGAGAGGAAGCAGAAAAAAGGGAACCCTCGTACATTGTTGGTGGGAATGTAAATTAGTGCAGCTACTGTGGAGAACAGTTTGGAGGTTCCTCAAAAAATAAAAATAGAGCTACCTTAAAATCCAGCAGTCCTACTTCCCACCTTCAAGTATTTGCACTGGGTATTTCTTTGCCTGGAACACTTTTCTTCCAGATGGTCACTTGGCTAACTCCCGTACTCCTTCAAGTCTTCTTAGATCTGTCTTTTGTCTCAGTAAGGCCTACCTGAAAATGCTATTTAAAGTTGCATCTTACATTCTAATCTTCCTTTGCCACTCTTTTCTTTTTTAAATAATAATTCTCACCTTCTAACAAACTATTTAATTTACTTACTATGTCTGCTTGTATAATCCCTAACCTCTTAAGTTCTAGGAGGCTAGACACCTTTGTCTAAGCTTGTTTGCTCCCGTATCCCAAATGCTTCAAATAATACCTGGTATTTAGTTAGTGTTCAATTATTTGTTGAATGAATTCATGCAAGATAATGAACCAAAAGTACTTCTCCCTTGGCAGGGGCTTGGAGTCAAACTCATTGTATGAACTGAGGTCTAGAGGAGGGCTAATCATCATCCTAGGAACAGAAACTAGAAAAGAAAGGCTACTGTTGCATGTGGCTTTGGCTTGTGTAGAGCTGCCTATCTGCTTTCGTGCCATGACTGGAGAAAGCAGAGAAGGCTCCAAAGGCTGCCCCCATGTTCAGTAATATTGGGAGATTTAACTGCAGAATAGGAGCCCTGAGCAGCTGATGTGAGACTGGTGCTGGACTGGGAATCCCTGGTTGGGCAGTTAGGTATGGGGGTAGATGGAGGCAACCAAAAAAGCCACTAGGTGGAAGCTAGAAATTTCCCTTGTGAGAACTGGAAGCAAGACTGGAGTAGCAGTTGGGCAGAGAAGAGCCATGGAGGCTCAAAGCTTTGGGAGGCAAGAGGAACAGAGGAATCCAGTAATTAGCAGTATAGTAAATGTGTAAGGAAAGTAAATGTTAAAGGGGGGTTAAAGAGTTGGTGTTGAGATATGTCTTATAAAACTCTTCTGTTTTTCCTGTGAAATTAGATAAAATCTAGATTGCTTTAGTGTAAGTGAATTCCTCTCAGAGAATGGGAAGAGATAGTGTACCTTGAGTCAGAATTGGCAAGAGTGAGAATAGGCTGCATGGGGATATTTGACATCTGGATTACATATAATTTTAGGAAAAATTGTGATGGTTTGGGATAAGAGAGAGCAATTTGGCAATGAGGAGATCGTTGGTGACCTTGAAAAGAGTAGTATGTGGAATGGTAAGTACAAAAGCCAGGATAGAGTGAGTTGGTGTGATTGGGAGACAAGGAAAGAGAGACAGCCATATAAACAACTCTTTTTTTTTAAAGACAGAGTCTTGCTTTGTCACTCAGGCTGGAGTGCAATGGCACGATCTCAGCTCACTGCAACCTCCGCCTCCCAGGTTTAAGTGATTCTTCTCCCTCAGCCTCTGAGTAGCTGGGATTACAGGCACACAACACCACGCCTGGCTGATTTTTTTGTATTTTTAGTAGAGATAGAGTTTTTGCCATGTTGGCCAGGCTGGTCTTGAACTCCTGACCTCAGGTGATCCACTTGCCTCGGCCTCCCAAAATACTAGGATTACAGGTGTGAGCCACCACGCCTAGCCTATTTTATAGTTTAAATGATGTATTTTACATATAAGTAATAGAGTAGGGGTTGAATAAAAGGTCTCGTTTTAGCCCTTCTAAACAAGGAGAAAGACTTTTTAAAGACTAGGTCTTATATGGAATTACATTAATAACTAGAATTACAAAATTTTTTTAAGGTTACAATGTTTTTTCTTTTTGTCTCCTGTAGGAAATACAGATGAAGAGGACTGCAATAGAAGCTTTTAATGAAACAATTAAAATATTTGAAGAGCAGTGTCACACACAAGAACAACATAGCAAAGAATATATTGAGCGATTTCGCAGAGAGGGAAATGAAAAGGAGATTGAACGGTAAGTGTACTTAGTACTTCCAAGGGCATCAGTGAGACAGGATTTCTTTTCTTCCCAATAGTTTCTGTCTTGTTTGCTTTTACCCCTTCAAACTGCACGGCCCTAGTATTGGAACTGCTTGCTATTTCCACTAATGGCACCAAATTGAACTACTCTCTCCTCTGCTCTTTCTTCATTCCTCCAAATTAACTCCTGCTCATCCATTATGAGTTCAGGTTAGATACTACCTTTCCCAAAAACTGTTTCTTGATTCTGGAGACCAATTTAAGGGCTTTATTTTGGGTCCCTACAGCGTCTGGTCCTGATCCCTAGTGTAACATTTACTGAATGCCATGCCCACTTAACTGTAAACTCATTGAGAGTAGGCATGGTGGCTTATTTTCCCTGGTAGCCTTAGTACCTACCTATGTATGGGAGTACGTAATGGGTGTTCATTGAATAGTTTTTGAATTGAATGTCAACTTTGGCAGCAGTCTGAGAATAAATTGTAGTAGAACATTGCTGTAGGCAGGAACACCAGCCTGACTTGCACATGACTGCAATGATTGTGGTCATCAGGCTAAATGATAGTAAGGGCCTCGACCTGAGAAATGGCAGAAAAGAAGGGGGAGGTCATGGAATGCTAAGGACTTTATGCCTGACAAGATAGGGTAGGTGTACAAGAAGTCAAAAATTATTCCTAGATTTCTGGCATGAAAGACTGGAAGATGGTGTTTTTCACCAAAATAAGAAGTACATGAGGAGAGTTTAGGGTTGGAACCAGTGAGTTTGAGGTTCCTGTGTGAACACAAGTGGAGCTCTCTGAGGGGGCAGACAACTGATTATTTGGATTTGGAACTTGGTATAGAAAGGATTTGGGAGGCACAGGTGTGTAGTTGATGGTAGATGCTGAGAATGAGATTACACAAAAAGAATGAGTGGCAGAAGTAGTATTGGATTTGATAGCTAAAAGGATGTTAAAAACCTTCACCAAAGCAAATTTAGGAAGGATTAGAAACTAAGCTAGATTATAGTGGGTTGAGACATGCAAAAGTGGATAATAAATACAACTAAATGATATGCAATGGAAAAGCAAAATTATTTCTCATATTAGCACCACAGTATTAGTATATTTCTGTGTGCATGAGTTTAGAGCTAAGTGCTATGAGGCAGTGTAGCTTAATGGTTAAAACCATGGGCTTGAATTCTGTATTGGCTATTTATTAGCTGTATAACCTTGGGTGAATTGCTTAACTCTTCTCAGTCTGTTTTCTATAAACTGTGAATAATCTCTTGTTGGAATGCTAGAGAATTAAGAAATATTTATCTTGGCACATGGATGTTCAATAAATGGTAATTTTTATTAACGATGAAGAAACAGAAAAAGATTTTTAGTTCGTTGCAGAGGGAAGTAAAGTAGAATAATAAAGTTTTGTTTTATTTTATTTTGTTTATTTATTTTTTTTGACAGAATCTCGCTCTGTCACCCAGGCTGGAGTGCAGTGGCATAATCTCTCCTCACTGCAACCTCCGCCTCCTGGGTTCAAGCGATTCTCCTGCCTCAGCCTCCCAAGTAGCTGGCATTACAGGCTACTGCCAGCATGCCCAGCTGATTTTTGTATTTTTAGTAGAGACAGGGTTTCACCAAGTAGAGACAGGGTTTTGCCCAGACTGGTCCTGAACTCCTGGCCTCAGGTGATCTGCTGGCCTCAGCCTCCCAAGGTGCTGGAATTACAGGCATGAGCCACCATGCCCAGCCTGTTTTATTTTTTTTGAGGCAGGATCTTGCTGTGTTGCCCAGAATGAAGTGGCATGATCATGGCTCATGGCATCCTGAGCCCCCTGGGCTCAAGGGACCCTCTTGCCTCAGCCTCCTGAGTTGCTAGGACTACAGGCAAGTGCCACCGCACTGGCTAATTTTTAAAAAATTTTTGTAGAGATGGGGTCATGAACTCCTGGGGTCAAGCAATCCTTCCACCTCCGCTTCCCAAAGTGCTGGGATTACAGACATATGTCCAGCCTATGAATTTTTAATAGTAATATAAAGCCACATATTGATTGACAAGGGAATAATGTGGACAGTTGTTACCATAAGGGTTCAGAGCATAGCAAAACTTTGTGTGTCGGAAAAGCTTATAGCCATCATCTGTTGAGTGCTTACCAAGATAATGTCAGGGAATGTCCTTGTCCTTTACATGTATTGTCACATTTAATTAACAGAAAAACCCAGTGAAGTAAGTACTCCTATAGGTATCCATTTGTATTAGTCTGTTTTTACGCTAGTGATAAGGACATACCTGAGACTGGGCAATTTACAGAAGAAAGAGGCTTAATTGGACTTACAGTTCCATGTGGCTGGGGAAGCCTCACAATCATGGTGGAAGGCAAGGAGGAGCAAATCCCGTGTTACATGGATGGCAGCAGTCAAAGAGAGAATGAGGAGGATGCAAAAGGGGAAACCCCTGTTGAAACCATCAGATCTCATGAGACTTATTCACTACCATGAGAACAGTATGGGGGAGACCACCTCCATGATTCATTTGTTTCACCCTGGGTCCCTCCCACAACATGTGGGAATTATGGGAGTATAATTCAAGAGGAGATTTGGTGGAGATACAGCCAAACCATATCATTCTGCCCCTGGCCCCTCCTAAACCTTGTATTTTCACATTTCAAAATTAATCATGCCTTCCCTACAGTCCCCTAAAGTTTTAACTCATTTCAGCATTAACTCAAAAGTCCACAGTCCAAAGTCTCATCTGAAACAAGGCAAGCCCCTTTTGCCTATGAGCCTGTAAAATCAAAAGCAAGCTAGTTATTTCCTAGATACAGTGGAGATACAGACATTGAGTAAATACGCTATTTTAAATGGGAGAGATTGGCCAGAACAAAGGGGCTACAGGGCCCATGCAACTCTAAAATCCAGCAGGGCAGTAAAATCTTAAAGCTCCAAAATTTGACTATTTTGACTCCATGTCTCACATCCAGGATATGCTGATGCAAAGAGATGATTCCCATGGTCTTGGGCAGCTCCGCCCCTGTGGCTTTGCAGGGTACAGCCTCCCTCCTGGTTGCTTTCACAGGGTGGCCTTGAGTGTCTGCAGCTTTTCCAGGTGCATAGTGTAAGCTCAATGGATTTACCATTCTGGGCTCTGGAGGGTGGTGGCCCTCTTCTCAGTGTCACTAGGCCATGCCTCAGTAGGGGCTCTTTGTGGAGGCTTGAACCCTTCATTTTCCTTCCATGCTGCCCTAGCAGAGGCTCTCCATGAGAGCCCTGCCACTGCACCAAACTTCTGCCTGGACATCCAGGTGTTCCATACATCTTCTGAAATCTAGGCAGAGGTTCTCAAACCTCAATTCTTGACTTCTGTGCACCTGCAGGCTCAACACCATGTGGAGGCTGCCAAGGCTTGGGGCTTGCACCATCTGAAGCCATGGCCCAAGCCCTATGTTGGCACCTTTCAGTCGTGGCTAGAGCGGCTAGAACACAGGGCATCAGTCTTTAGGCTGCACTCAGCTCAGGGACCCTAGGCCCAGCCCATGAAACTACTTTTTCCTCTAAGCCTCTGGACCTGTGATGGGAGGGGCTGCCACAAAGACCTCTGATATGCCCTGGAGACATTTTCCCCATT